AGTCCGTAGATCGCCTTCAACTATTCGAAGCAGTCAAAGTCTTCATCAACTTTGACCCCTTCTGGGATCGCGCAGAATACCTTTTCCTTCATCTCTCCGCATAGCAAAGCTGTCACCACGTCCAGTAGGTCCAGTGTCCAGTCAAAGTACTTCGTGATTGCAACTACCATGCGCAGCGTCACGTACTTGACTACCGGAAAAACGTCTCCGTGTAGTCGATGCCATATTTCTGCTTGAACCCTTTTGCCACGAGACGCGCCTTGTATTTCTCGATGGATCCATCAGCTATCCGCTTGATATTGAATACCCACTTGGTGCCAATGGTATGCTGTCCAGCTGGCTGTTTGGGCGCTCGAAGCACGCCACGAAGTTTCATCGAGTCCAACTCGGCACAGATTGCTTTACGCCAATGCACTTGATCCGGTCCATCAACAGCATCTTTAAACGTTGTCGGCTCAGACAAGTCAGTACCTTCGACTGCGTTGACACTCGCTCGCCAAAAGACTTGAGGTGTAGCATCCTCGTTATCTTCGTCACTGCCCTTTCGCTCTTCGTCCAGATTGGCTCGAGCGCTTGACCGTCGCTTCGCTTGGTGCGTTTCAAAGTCATCCGGTGCACTTGCTTCTTCGAACCCGGTTCCACGACGCTCAGGAAGTGTCCGTTGCAGAGCTTGTTCTTGGCTGTTTGAACGGCTTTTGCGTTTTCCAATTTGCTTGAACTGCATAGGGTGAGGCTCGTCGCTGATGTTCATCGATTCGATATCCAGCGCAGTGTCATCAACAATTTCTTGTGGTAGCGTCGGCGAGAAACCAAACGTTGATTCGTCGAATGTGACATCGCGAGATATCACCACTTGATCCGCTTCAATGTCGTAAACGCGATATGCCTTTGACACTTCTTCGTACCCCATGAATCGTCCTTCACGGGCCTTCGGATCCCATTTTGATCTCTTTTCCTTAGGGGTCAGCACAAATGGTCGGCAGCCGAAAACCCGCATGTGCTTCACACTTGGTCGAAATCCGTTGACGATCTCGAACGGGGTTTAATCTTGGCACTTGGGCGATGGTAGGCGATTCTTGATGTAGATTGCCGTTGTTGCATTGGTAGAGAGAGGAGCTGATGGAGCGGAGAGGCTGAAGAGAGTAGAGAAGAAGAGACTTGCTCACTAGTTGGAAGATTCGAAAGTGATTGATTTATCGGGGCTTACTACTTACTACATGATTTTTATGTGGTGCACATATAAATCATTTGAAGTGTCTCGTCATCCTACGCGTCTAATCAACTGTGTTAATTACCGTAAGAACTACGTCGTAAATACAAAGCTGAACAGGCGGTTCGGATTGGACGGTCATGGTTACCAATAATGGTCGGAAACCGATGACCGCCAACTAAGAGCTCACCGTAATTATGGAAACGTAACTCACAGCAAATGCAATGTCCGGTCGTGTCGCGGTCATCAAGTGCATTAAAGCGCCTACTGCTTCACAAAACGGGGCGTCGATTTTGGTTACTGCACTGCTTGGTATGATTCAAGAACTAATGTCTGTTGGGCTGGTGACGGCTTTGCAGTCGCTCATGCCAAAACGCTTGAGAACATCTTCCACGTAGCGTCACTGGCACATCGTCACGCTACCGTTGTCGTTGTCCACCAGCTCGATGCCCAACACGAATGCGCACTTGCCGCTGTCAGTCATTTCGAAACGCGCCTTCAAGTCACTCTTGGTACGCATAATCAGTTCGGTCGAGCTGCCAGTCACCAACACATCATCGACGTATACCAGCAAAAGCACGCACTCGCCACTTGTAATCTTGAGATAAAGACACGGGTCAAAATCGGATACTTGAAATCCAATGGAGCAGACGAACTCATGGAAAGTCTCATTCCTTGCGCGCGATGCTTGTTTTAGTCCGTAGATCGCCTTCAACAATTCGAAGCAGTCAAAGTCTTCATCAACTTCGACCCCTTCTGGGATCGCGCAGAATACCTTTTCCTTCATCTCTCCGCATAGCAAAGCTGCCACCACGTCCAGTAGGTCCAGTGTCCAGTCAAAGTACTTCGTGATTGCAACTACCATGCGCAGCGTCACGTACTTGACTACCGGAAAAACGTCTCCGTGTAGTCGATGCCATATTTCTGCTTGAACCCTTTTGCCACGAGACGCGCCTTGTATTTCTCGATGGATCCATCAGCTATCCGCTTGATATTGAATACCCACTTGGTGCCAATGGTATGCTGTCCAGCTGGCTGTTTGGGCGCTCGAAGCACGCCACGAAGTTTCATCGAGTCCAACTCGGCACAGATTGCTTTACGCCAATGCACTTGATCCGGTCCATCAACAGCATCTTTAAACGTTGTCGGCTCAGACAAGTCAGTACCTTCGACTGCGTTGACACTCGCTCGCCAAAAGACTTGAGGTGTAGCATCCTCGTTATCTTCGTCACTGCCCTTTCGCTCTTCGTCCAGATTGGCTCGAGCGCTTGACCGTCGCTTCGCTTGGTGCGTTTCAAAGTCATCCGGTGCACTTGCTTCTTCGAACCCGGTTCCACGACGCTCAGGAAGTGTCCGTTGCAGAGCTTGTTCTTGGCTGTTTGAACGGCTTTTGCGTTTTCCAATTTGCTTGAACTGCATAGGGTGAGGCTCGTCGCTGATGTTCATCGATTCGATATCCAGCGCAGTGTCATCAACAATTTCTTGTGGTAGCGTCGGCGAGAAACCAAACGTTGATTCGTCGAATGTGACATCGCGAGATATCACCACTTGATCCGCTTCAATGTCGTAAACGCGATATGCCTTTGACACTTCTTCGTACCCCATGAATCGTCCTTCACGGGCCTTCGGATCCCATTTTGATCTCTTTTCCTTAGGGGTCAGCACAAATGGTCGGCAGCCGAAAACCCGCATGTGCTTCACACTTGGTCGAAATCCGTTGACGATCTCGAACGGGGTTTAATCTTGGCACTTGGGCGATGGTAGGCGATTCTTGATGTAGATTGCCGTTGTTGCATTGGTAGAGAGAGGAGCTGATGGAGCGGAGAGGCTGAAGAGAGTAGAGAAGAAGAGACTTGCTCACTAGTTGGAAGATTCGAAAGTGATTGATTTATCGGGGCTTACTACTTACTACATGATTTTTATGTGGTGCACATATAAATCATTTGAAGTGTCTCGTCATCCTACGCGTCTAATCAACTGTGTTAATTACCGTAAGAACTACGTCGTAAATACAAAGCTGAACAGGCGGTTCGGATTGGACGGTCATGGTTGATGAACTTTAGACTTCTTGGTCCGAGTGCAAAACGCAAAGTGAATATATATTTATAATAGGTACTTAGTTCGCAACTTTGAATACTACCTCTAAGCCTATTATTCGCAGTGACGTCATCCAGTGACGTCACCCACTGACGTCACCCACTGACGTCATGCAATGACGTCATCCAGTGACGTCATTTCCTGACTTCGCCCTTACTGGTACATACCGGTACCCACCGGTATAGCGAAGCTTGGTCTTCCACTTGCTTCAACACTTGACGCAGCTTGACGAGGTGTCTTCTTCACAGCCGCTGTCTTTTCAACACTCCCTCTCGACTCGTTAGCTGCGGCACCTTGGATCCCAAGTCGATCGCGAATGTTTTCAAATTGTACAGCGGCGATCGGCTTGGTCATCATGTCTGCCAGCATATCTTGAGTCGGGCAATACTCCAAAACGACTTCACCTGATTCCACCTTCTCACGCACAAAATGGTAGCGTATGTCGATGTGTTTTGTTCTCTTATGGAACTCCGGGTTCTTGGCGAGAGCGATTGATCCTTGGTTGTCTTCATACATCTTGATCGCTTCGTCGCTTGTCATCTCACCAAGTTCCCCCAAAAGCACTTTGAGCCATACTGCTTCTTTGGTTGCTTCGGAAAGCGCCATGTATTCTGCTTCTGTTGAAGATAGCGCGACCGTCCGTTGTTTCTGGCTTTTCCAGCTGATGCATCCTCCGCTCATCATGAACACATAGCCGCTTGTACTTCGTCTTGACTCAATGTCGCCGGCCCAGTCTGCGTCGGTGTACCCGCAGATACGGCTTCCTTCTTCACGTGTAAACTCAAGACCATGATTGGGCGTTGCTTGCAGGTATCTCAGCACACGCTTCAAAGCTTGCCAGTGAGTCGGGCATGGGTCGGACGAGAACTGGGATAATGATCCCACTGCAGCAGCTAGATCCGGACGTGTGGCGACCATGAGATACATGATGCCTCCGACAGCACTTCGATATGGCACGTTGCACATGGTGTCTTCGTGCTTGCATTCTTGTTCACACATGTTCTTGGTTAGCTTCAGGCCGGGATCTTGAGGCGTCTTCACTGGCTTGCTGTTATCCATTCCGAACTTGGTTAACACGGACTTGAGAAACTTGGTTTGTTGTACAGTCACCATTCCCGTCTTACGGTCGTTCTTGATCTCCATGCCGAGAAATAATCGAGCTCACCGAGATCCGTCATTTCGAAGCGTTTGCTCAGCGCCATCTTGGTTGACTTGAGGAGTTCGTTGTTGCTGCTGGCCAGGATGAGATCATCGACGTAGAGCACCACGAGAATCATGTCTTGGTCGTCTCGCTTGATGTAGATGCAGTGGTCCGATTCGCACTTCTTGAATCCCATCTTGATCATGAACCCATCGATTGTTTGGTTCCACATGCGAGGCGATTGCTTCAAGCCGTAGAGTGATCTCTTTAGCTTGCACACATAGTCCGGCTGTGTTGCATCCAGGTATCCGTCCGGCTGGTCCATGTAGATGTCTTCGTTGAGGGAGCCGTTAAGAAACGCTGTCTTGACGTCCATCTGATGTAGCATTAGGCCGTACTTGGCCGCCATACTGAGCACCACACGAATCGATGTGAACTTGGCCACCGGTGCGAAAGTTTCTTCATAGTCAACTCCGAATTTCTGTGAGAATCCTTTGGCCACAAGTCTTGCCTTGAAACGTTCAACTTCGCCATCTTGATTCTCCTTTACACGAAAAACCCATCGGCACCCGATGGCCTTGCGACCTTTCGGAAGAGGCACGATTTCCCACGTGTCGTTTCTCTGAAGCGAATCGAACTCCGAGTCACACGCTTCTTTCCACTTGCCGGAGTCGCTTGATTCCATCGCCGACTTGAATGTAGTCGGCGTTTCCCCACTGAATCAACGATGTAGGCTGCTTCAAAATCCATTGCAGCCGCTGACACATGCTCAAGCGACGGACCTCTGTATGTTCTTCGCTTGGGACTTGGAATGACGGTAGCTTTCTCAAGTGATTGAGTGCGCGTGTGTCTCTTGATGTTGCTCTTCGAAGACCTGGTGTCTTCGTTGTCATCGTCGCTCGAGTCCATGTCGTCGTCAGTTTTACCTTCTTCTTTTTCTTCGTCCTCATCATGATCATCAAACTCAACGACACTTGACTCATCGTTGTAGTTGCGCGGACCTTCATCAAACTTGTCTTCCATGAATGTGGCATCGCGACTGATCTTGATCGCTCCTGTTGACACTTCCTCAAATCGATATGACTTCTGGTGTTCGGCGTATCCCAGGAAACGACAGAGTGATGACTTGGAGTCGAACTTCGCGCGTTTGTCTTGAGGCACTTGAACATACGCGTGGCATCCAAACACTTTAAGGTTGGCCAGAATCGGTTTCTTCATCGTCCACACTTGATATGGAGACTTGTCTTGGTGAATGGCACGTGTTGGACAGCGGTTTCGAAGAAACATCGCCGTCATCACTGCTTCACCCCAGTAGCTCTTTCCCAGTCCAGCGTGTTCCATCATGCAACGCGCACACTCGACCAGCGTGCGATTCATTCTCTCAGCTACTCCGTTTAGCTGAGGAGTATATGGGGGTGTGAACCTTTGTTGTATTCCCCGTTCCGCGCAGAATCGTGCCAGCTTGTCGGACTTGTATTCACCCCCATTGTCGCTTTGAAGGTACTTCACGCGCTTTCCGGTTTGCGTTTCGGCCATCGCAGCGTATTCCATGAACTTCGCCGCAACTTCAGATTTGCTCTTGAGCAGATAGACGACACAGTATCTTGACTTGTCATCAATGAATGTCACGAAGTACCGTTTTCCACTGAAAGTTGCCATCGACATCGGTCCGCATACGTCGCTGTGAATCACTTCGAGGAGTTTGGAGGTGCGAGCTGTAGTGTTTGATTGGAAGCGCACTCGAGTCTGTTTTCCCAGAGCACAACCTTCACACACGTCCCACTTCTTCACCGAAGATATGTCGATGCCAATTCCAATGTTCTTCGTCACGATGCAATTGAGTCCATCGTGACCTATGTGGCCAAGCCGAAGGTGCCAGAGGTACGACTTGGTGCCCCCTTGACATCCCGACGACTTGGCTGCATTTGCTTGTTCCGGCGCCACTGGAGTCATTTGCAGCTTGAACAGTCCTTTACCTTCACGGGCACCAATTTTCCACTTGGTCCCTTTCGCTTTTCCATAGCACCCATCCTTCGTGAACGTCACTGGGCCGACATCCTTGGTGAAGCGGCCGACCGAGAACAGGTTTCTGGATAACTTTGGGATGTGCCACACGTTTGTGAGCACACCTTTCTTCATCCCTTGGGGTGTCTTCATCGACATGACAATGTCCCCACTGCCGATTGCTTGGACGATTCCATCATCCGCGAGATGGACATCCACAGCGTCAAACCCCTTGTAGTTCCGCATGAACTTCTTGGAGCACGTCATGTGCTGCGTCGCCCCGGAGTCGACCATCCAGATGTCGCTCGATTTCGCAGATGTCGTTTCACCGATCGAAAAGAGGTAGTCGCCCGAGTCTTCTTCTTGAGCGACGTTTGCACGTTGTGATCGATAGCGGTCGCCGCTGTCTTGAGCACGCTGTGGCCGGTGTCTCTCCGTGTTTTCTTGGATGCGCGAGGGGCACTCCGCCATCCAGTGACCAATCTTTCCGCAATTGTGGCACGGCCAGGACTTCTTCACTGGTCGCCCTTTGCGCTGATTGTCCCTTGTGATGAACGCTTGACCTTGCGAAGCTTCATCACCTTTACTTCCTTGCTCCCTCCGCTTCATTTCTTCATGAAGCAGTCGAGACGTCACGAGCTCCCAGCTAAGAGTGTCTGAGCGCGACTCCAAAGCTGTGATCAAGAATTGATACGAGTCACTCAGGCTGCCGAGAAGTGTGATCACCAGATCGTCCTCGCAGACTGGAGCCCCCACCGCTTCTAGCTGTTCCGCCAGCGTCTTGAGCTTGTTGATGTGTTCGAGTACATCGTCGCCTTCTTCCATCATTGTCGTGAAGAAGCGACGGCGCAAGAACAGCTTGTTGGCAAGACTCTTCTTCTCGAAGTGGTCTTCCAACCTTGACCATGCGTCGCATGCACCACTTGCCGACCGGACCAACGGTAGCTGGGAATCTTCCATGGCTAGACAGATCACTGCCATCGCCTTTCTTGACTTCCTCTTGTACGTCGCTTGGTCCAACTGAGTCTCGCACTGTTCCGCCTTGATCTCACCGCTGACGACCTCCCATAGGTCCCGTTCCTCCAGCACCATCTGCATCTTGAACTTCCAGGCGTGGAAGTTAGTTCCATCGAACTTGGAGATGCGGAGGGAGGAGGCGTCCATGGCAGCTAAGCTTGAATTGTTGGCGGTTTCAGAGTCTGACGAACTTGGGCTCATAACCTGATGAACTTTAGACTTCTTGGTCCGAGTGCAAAACGCAAAGTGAATATATATTTATAATAGGTACTTAGTTCGCAACTTTGAATACTACCTCTAAGCCTATTATTCGCAGTGACGTCATCCAGTGACGTCACCCACTGACGTCACCCACTGACGTCATGCAATGACGTCATCCAGTGACGTCATTTCCTGACTTCGCCCTTACTGGTACATACCGGTACCCACCGGTATAGCGAAGCTTGGTCTTCCACTTGCTTCAACACTTGACGCAGCTTGACGAGGTGTCTTCTTCACAGCCGCTGTCTTTTCAACAATGGTTACCAATAATGGTCGGAAACCGATGACCGCCAACTAAGAGCTCACCGTAATTATGGAAACGTAACTCACAGCAAATGCAATGTCCGGTCGTGTCGCGGTCATCAAGTGCATTAAAGCGCCTACTGCTTCACAAAACGGGGCGTCGATTTTGGTTACTGCACTGCTTGGTATGAGTCAAGAACTGATGTCTGTTGGGCTGGTGACGGCTTTGCAGTCGCTCATGCCAAAACGCTTGAGAACATCTTCCACGTAGCGTCACTGGCACATCGTCACGCTACCGTTGTCGTTGTACACCAGCTCGATGCCCAACACGAATGCGCACTTGCCGCTGTCAGTCATTTCCGAAACGCGCCTTCAAGTCACTCTTGGTACGCATAATCAGTTCGGTCGAGCTGCCAGTCACCAACACATCATCGACGTATACCAGCAAAAGCACGCACTCGCCACTTGTAATCTTGAGATAAAGACACGGGTCAAAATCGGATACTTGAAATCCAATGGAGCAGACGAACTCATGGAAAGTCTCATTCCTTGCGCGCGATGCTTGTTTTAGTCCGTAGATCGCCTTCAACAATTCGAAGCAGTCAAAGTCTTCATCAACTTCGACCCCTTCTGGGATCGCGCAGAATACCTTTTCCTTCATCTCTCCGCATAGCAAAGCTGTCACCACGTCCAGTAGGTCCAGTGTCCAGTCAAAGTACTTCGTGATTGCAACTACCATGCGCAGCGTCACGTACTTGACTACCGGAAAAACGTCTCCGTGTAGTCGATGCCATATTTCTGCTTGAACCCTTTTGCCACGAGACGCGCCTTGTATTTCTCGATGGATCCATCAGCTATCCGCTTGATATTGAATACCCACTTGGTGACAATGGTATGCTGTCCAGCTGGCTGTTTGGGCGCTCGAAGCACGCCACGAAGTTTCATCGAGTCCAACTCGGCACAGATTGCTTTACGCCAATGCACTTGATCCGGTCCATCAACAGCATCTTTAAACGTTGTCGGCTCAGACAAGTCAATACCTTCGACTGCGTTGACACTCGCTCGCCAAAAGACTTGAGGTGTAGCATCCTCGTTATCTTCGTCACTGCCCTTTCGCTCTTCGTCCAGATTGGCTCGAGCGCTTGACCGTCGCTTCGCTTGGTGCGTTTCAAAGTCATCCGGTGCACTTGCTTCTTCGAACCCGGTTCCACGACGCTCAGGAAGTGTCCGTTGCAGAGCTTGTTCTTGGCTGTTTGAACGGCTTTTGCGCTTTCCAATTTGCTTGAACTGCATAGGGTGAGGCTCGTCGCTGATGTTCATCGATTCGATATCCAGCGCAGTGTCATCAACAATTTCTTGTGGTAGCGTCGGCGAGAAACCAAACGTTGGTTCGTCGAATGTGACATCGCGAGATATCACCACTTGATCCGCTTCAATGTCGTAAACGCGATATGCCTTTGACACTTCTTCGTACCCCATGAATCGTCCTTCACGAGCCTTTGGATCCCATTTCGATCTCTTTTCCTTAGGGGTCAGCACAAATGGTCGGCAGCCGAAAACCCGCATGTGCTGATGAACTTTAGACTTCTTGGTCCGAGTGCAAAACGCAAAGTGAATATATATTTATAATAGGTACTTAGTTCGCAACTTTGAATACTACCTCTAAGCCTATTATTCGCAGTGACGTCATCCAGTGACGTCATTTCCTGACTTCGCCCTTACTGGTACATACCGGTACCCACCGGTATAGCGAAGCTTGGTCTTCCACTTGCTTCAACACTTGACGCAGCTTGACGAGGTGTCTTCTTCACAGCCGCTGTCTTTTCAACACTCCCTCTCGACTCGTTAGCTGCGGCACCTTGGATCCCAAGTCGATCGCGAATGTTTTCAAATTGTACAGCGGCGATCGGCTTGGTCATCATGTCTGCCAGCATATCTTGAGTCGGGCAATACTCCAAAACGACTTCACCTGATTCCACCTTCTCACGCACAAAATGGTAGCGTATGTCGATGTGTTTTGTTCTCTTATGGAACTCCGGGTTCTTGGCGAGAGCGATTGATCCTTGGTTGTCTTCATACATCTTGATCGCTTCGTCGCTTGTCATCTCACCAAGTTCCCCCAAAAGCACTTTGAGCCATACTGCTTCTTTGGTTGCTTCGGAAAGCGCCATGTATTCTGCTTCTGTTGAAGATAGCGCGACCGTCCGTTGTTTCTGGCTTTTCCAGCTGATGCATCCTCCGCTCATCATGAACACATATCCGCTTGTACTTCGTCTTGACTCAATGTCGCCGGCCCAGTCTGCGTCGGTGTACCCGCAGATACGGCTTCCTTCTTCACGTGTAAACTCAAGACCATGATTGGGCGTTGCTTGCAGGTATCTCAGCACACGCTTCAAAGCTTGCCAGTGAGTCGGGCATGGGTCGGACGAGAACTGGGATAATGATCCCACTGCAGCAGCTAGATCCGGACGTGTGGCGACCATGAGATACATGATGCCTCCGACAGCACTTCGATATGGCACGTTGCACATGGTGTCTTCGTGCTTGCATTCTTGTTCACACATGTTCTTGGTTAGCTTCAGGCCGGGATCTTGAGGCGTCTTCACTGGCTTGCTGTTATCCATTCCGGAACTTGGTTAACACGGACTTGAGAAACTTGGTTTGTTGTACAGTCACCATTCCCGTCTTACGGTCGTTCTTGATCTCCATGCCGAGAAAGTAATCGAGCTCACCGAGATCCGTCATTTCGAAGCGTTTGCTCAGCGCCATCTTGGTTGACTTGAGGAGTTCGTTGTTGCTGCTGGCCAGGATGAGATCATCGACGTAGAGCACCACGAGAATCATGTCTTGGTCGTCTCGCTTGATGTAGATGCAGTGGTCCGATTCGCACTTCTTGAATCCCATCTTGATCATGAACCCATCGATTGTTTGGTTCCACATGCGAGGCGATTGCTTCAAGCCGTAGAGTGATCTCTTTAGCTTGCACACATAGTCCGGCTGTGTTGCATCCAGGTATCCGTCCGGCTGGTCCATGTAGATGTCTTCGTTGAGGGAGCCGTTAAGAAACGCTGTCTTGACGTCCATCTGATGTAGCATTAGGCCGTACTTAGCCGCCATACTGAGCACCACACGAATCGATGTGAACTTGGCCACCGGTGCGAAAGTTTCTTCATAGTCAACTCCGAATTTCTGTGAGAATCCTTTGGCCACAAGTCTTGCCTTGAAACGTTCAACTTCGCCATCTTGATTCTCCTTTACACGAAAAACCCATCGGCACCCGATGGCCTTGCGACCTTTCGGAAGAGGCACGATTTCCCACGTGTCGTTTCTCTGAAGCGAATCGAACTCCGAGTCACACGCTTCTTTCCACTTGCCGGAGTCGCTTGATTCCATCGCCGACTTGAATGTAGTCGGCGTTTCCCCCACTGAATCAACGATGTAGGCTGCTTCAAAATCCATTGCAGCCGCTGACACATGCTCAAGCGACGGACCTCTGTATGTTCTTCGCTTGGGACTTGAATGACGGTAGCTTTCTCAAGTGATTGAGTGCGCGTGTGTCTCTTGATGTTGCTCTTCGAAGACCTGGTGTCTTCGTTGTCATCGTCGCTCGAGTCCATGTCGTCGTCAGTTTTACCTTCTTCTTTTTCTTCGTCCTCATCATGATCATCAAACTCAACGACACTTGACTCATCGTTGTAGTTGCGCGGACCTTCATCAAACTTGTCTTCCATGAATGTGGCATCGCGACTGATCTTGATCGCTCCTGTTGACACTTCCTCAAATCGATATGACTTCTGGTGTTCGGCGTATCCCAGGAAACGACAGAGTGATGACTTGGAGTCGAACTTCGCGCGTTTGTCTTGAGGCACTTGAACATACGCGTGGCATCCAAACACTTTAAGGTTGGCCAGAATCGGTTTCTTCATCGTCCACACTTGATATGGAGACTTGTCTTGGTGAATGGCACGTGTTGGACAGCGGTTTCGAAGAAACATCGCCGTCATCACTGCTTCACCCCAGTAGCTCTTTCCCAGTCCAGCGTGTTCCATCATGCAACGCGCACACTCGACCAGCGTGCGATTCATTCTCTCAGCTACTCCGTTTAGCTGAGGAGTATATGGGGGTGTGAACCTTTGTTGTATTCCCCGTTCCGCGCAGAATCGTGCCAGCTTGTCGGACTTGTATTCACCCCCATTGTCGCTTTGAAGGTACTTCACGCGCTTTCCGGTTTGCGTTTCGGCCATCGCAGCGTATTCCATGAACTTCGCCGCAACTTCAGATTTGCTCTTGAGCAGATAGACGACACAGTATCTTGACTTGTCATCAATGAATGTCACGAAGTACCGTTTTCCACTGAAAGTTGCCATCGACATCGGTCCGCATACGTCGCTGTGAATCACTTCGAGGAGTTTGGAGGTGCGAGCTGTAGTGTTTGATTGGAAGCGCACTCGAGTCTGTTTTCCCAGAGCACAACCTTCACACACGTCCCACTTCTTCACCGAAGATATGTCGATGCCAATTCCAATGTTCTTCGTCACGATGCAATTGAGTCCATCGTGACCTATGTGGCCAAGCCGAAGGTGCCAGAGGTACGACTTGGTGCCCCCTTGACATCCCGACGACTTGGCTGCATTTGCTTGTTCCGGCGCCACTGGAGTCATTTGCAGCTTGAACAGTCCTTTACCTTCACGGGCACCAATTTTCCACTTGGTCCCTTTCGCTTTTCCATAGCACCCATCCTTCGTGAACGTCACTGGGCCGACATCCTTGGTGAAGCGGCCGACCGAGAACAGGTTTCTGGATAACTTTGGGATGTGCCACACGTTTGTGAGCACACCTTTCTTCATCCCTTGGGGTGTCTTCATCGACATGACAATGTCCCCACTGCCGATTGCTTGGACGATTCCATCATCCGCGAGATGGACATCCACAGCGTCAAACCCCTTGTAGTTCCGCATGAACTTCTTGGAGCACGTCATGTGCTGCGTCGCCCCGGAGTCGACCAGCCAGATGTCGCTCGATTTCGCAGATGTCGTTTCACCGATCGAAAAGAGGTAGTCGCCCGAGTCTTCTTCTTGAGCGACGTTTGCACGTTGTGATCGATAGCGGTCGCCGCTGTCTTGAGCACGCTGTGGCCGGTGTCTCTCCGTGTTTTCTTGGATGCGCGAGGGGCACTCCGCCATCCAGTGACCAATCTTTCCGCAATTGTGGCACGGCCAGGACTTCTTCACTGGTCGCCCTTTGCGCTGATTGTCCCTTGTGATGAACGCTTGACCTTGCGAAGCTTCATCACCTTTACTTCCTTGCTCCTTCCGCTTCATTTCTTCATGAAGCAGTCGAGACGTCACGAGCTCCCAGCTAAGAGTGTCTGAGCGCGACTCCAAAGCTGTGATCAAGAATTGATACGAGTCACTCAGGCTGCCGAGGAGTGTGATCACCAGATCGTCCTCGCAGACTGGAGCCCCCACCGCTTCTAGCTGTTCCGCCAGCGTCTTGAGCTTGTTGATGTGTTCGAGCACATCGTCGCCTTCTTCCATCATTGTCGTGAAGAAGCGACGGCGCAAGAACAGCTTGTTGGCAAGACTCTTCTTCTCGAAGTGGTCTTCCAACCTTGACCATGCGTCGCATGCACCACTTGCCGACCGGACCAACGGTAGCTGGGAATCTTCCATGGCTAGACAGATCACTGCCATCGCCTTTCTTGACTTCCTCTTGTACGTCGCTTGGTCCAACTGAGTCTCGCACTGTTCCGCCTTGATCTCACCGCTGACGACCTCCCATAGGTCCCGTTCCTCCAGCACCATCTGCATCTTGAACTTCCAGGCGTGGAAGTTAGTTCCATCGAACTTGGAGATGCGGAGGGAGGAGGCGTCCATGGCAGCTAAGCTTGAATTGTTGGCGGTTTCAGAGTCTGACGAACTTGGGCTCATAACCTGATGAACTTTAGACTTCTTGGTCCGAGTGCAAAACGCAAAGTGAATATATATTTATAATAGGTACTTAGTTCGCAACTTTGAATACTACCTCTAAGCCTATTATTCGCAGTGACGTCATCCAGTGACGTCATTTCCTGACTTCGCCCTTACTGGTACATACCGGTACCCACCGGTATAGCGAGGCTTGGTCTTCCACTTGCTTCAACACTTGACGCAGCTTGACGAGGTGTCTTCTTCACAGCCGCTGTCTTTTCAACATGTGCTTCACACTTGGTCGAAATCCGTTGACGATCTCGAACGGGGTTTAATCTTGGCACTTGGGCGATGGTAGGCGATTCTTGATGTAGATTGCCGTTGTTGCATTGGTAGAGAGAGGAGCTGATGGAGCGGAGAGGCTGAAGAGAGTAGAGAAGAAGAGACTTGCTCACTTGTTGGAAGATTCGAAAGTAATTGATTATCGGGGCTTACTACTTACTACATGATTTTTATGTGGTGCACATATAACTCATTTGAAGTGTCTCGTCATCCTACGCGTCTAATCAACTGTGTTAATTACCGTAAGAACTACGTCGTAAATACAAAGCTGAACAGGCGGTTCGGATTGGACGGTCATGGTTACCAATAATGGTCGGAAACCGATGACCGCCAACTAAGAGCTCACCGTAATTATGGAAACGTAACTCACAGCAAATGCAATGTCCGGTCGTGTCGCGGTCATCAAGTGCATTAAAGCGCCTACTGCTTCACAAAACGGGGCGTCGATTTTGGTTACTGCACTGCTTGGTATGAGTCAAGAACTGATGTCTGTTGGGCTGGTGACGGCTTTGCAGTCGCTCATGCCAAAACGCTTGAGAACATCTTCCACGTAGCGTCACTGGCACATCGTCACGCTACCGTTGTCGTTGTCCACCAGCTCGATGCCCAACACGAATGCGCACTTGCCGCTGTCAGTCATTTCGAAACGCGCCTTCAAGTCACTCTTGGTACGCATAATCAGTTCGGTCGAGCTGCCAGTCACCAACACATCATCGACGTATACCAGCAAAAGCACGCACTCGCCACTTGTAATCTTGAGATAAAGACACGGGTCAAAATCGGATACTTGAAATCCAATGGAGCAGACGAACTCATGGAAAGTCTCATTCCTTGCGCGCGATGCTTGTTTTAGTCCGTAGATCGCCTTCAACAATTCGAAGCAGTCAAAGTCTTCATCAACTTCGACCCCTTCTGGGATCGCGCAGAATACCTTTTCCTTCATCTCTCCGCATAGCAAAGCTGTCACCACGTCCAGTAGGTCCAGTGTCCAGTCAAAGTACTTCGTGATTGCAACTACCATGCGCAGCGTCACGTACTTGACTACCGGAAAAACGTCTCCGTGTAGTCGATGCCATATTTCTGCTTGAACCCTTTTGCCACGAGACGCGCCTTGTATTTCTCGATGGATCCATCAGCTATCCGCTTGATATTGAATACCCACTTGGTGCCAATGGTATGCTGTCCAGCTGGCTGTTTGGGCGCTCGAAGCACGCCACGAAGTTTCATCGAGTCCAACTCGGCACAGATTGCTTTACGCCAATGCACTTGATCCGGTCCATCAACAGCATCTTTAAACGTTGTCGGCTCAGACA